GTGGGTTGGCTGTTGGCTGCCAGCCACAATCCCAGCAACCTCATCCATGAGCTTCATGGTGACACCTGGGGGGGGGACACAGAGCCCCATCTCAGGGAAGCCAGCGGGGTTTGGGAAGAACCACATGTAGGTCAGTAAGGCCTTTGCACAACCAAAGCAACGCTGAGGAGTCGGACCAGAGACTGAATCCCAGCTGCAGGAAAGCCCTGGTACCAGCACAAAGACTCCTGTCAAGAGTACTGTCAGGGCGACATCCTCGCAGACCTGGGCTAAGATTTAGGCCAGCTCTTGCTCTCCTGGCTTGCTTTGAGCAAACCTCAGCCTTGCAAGGCAAGATCAGTCCCACAAACCTGCGTGGAAAGAGCTCTGAGCCACATTGTTTGGGGGTTTTTTTTGTTTGGTTTTTTTTTATTTTTTAAGGACACAGTTAGATGAAGAACGGCACCCAGCCCTTGACGAATGCGCCTCTCCCCAGGCTCACGCTGCAGGCATCCACCCTGCCCTGCCTGCCTGGCAGGCAACAAGCACTGCCAGCCAAGAGGAAATTACTCCAGCAAATTGCAGTCATTGTCCGCTGGATGTTTATAATTGGAGATTTGCAGTTTAAAAGACAATGACAAAATTGTAGGATTTACGGTTCGAGTATGCCAGTTTTCAGGGACTTTTTTAAGCATAGAAAAAGACGAAGCTTTTGTCTGAGCTGAAGCAGCACTGAGCCTCACAGATGGTGGAAGCAGGCCTGCGTGCCTTCAGAGGCAGAGCCCTCCTCCCAGAAACACCGAGATGCATGAGTTGCACTCAAACCACGCTTCTGCTCTGGGGAAACACCAACCGGCCGTTGAAGGGGGCAGCGCTCGCTCACCTCCATGCACGAAGCCCAGCAGCGTGCAGTCCGACGGTCCCACCAGGTGGATCAGGCTGGACTGGCTGTAGCCAACGGTGTGCGGCTCTGGTTAAAGAGAGCAAAGCGCAGGTCAGAGCTGCTCGGCCAGCACCCGTACACCACCGTACACCCCTGTCTTAAACCGTCTGAAGGAAGAAAACGTGGGGCTGGCTTGTGCAAAGCTGAAGTGTGTTCAAACCAGCGTTTAAATCGGCCCCGAGAAGTCCTGAGAGCAGAGGCTCTCTGCCACCTCACTGGCTGCCACTTCCCTCGAATGCCTGCCCATCAATTTTGTTCCAGCTCAACTCATTTCTTCTTTTAAAGCTTTCAAAGAGCCCAAAAGCAAACGGGGGTGAACTGGACGGATGCGCGGCTGTACACTTTCCCTCCTCAGGCCACCAC